TCAAACGCTCATAAAAATTTAATTTGACTTTCTTATAAACATTTTTCTTTTGATAAAGGTAGACAAACTTATAAGGAATCTTGTGTTTAATTTTCAAATCTTAGATTTAAAAAGAAAAATTTTTACGAATTCTTAACTCAAAATAATTTGCTAATTTTCGTGATTTTCCCATATTTTGTCAATTTTTGAACTTTAAATGCTTATAAAAAAAAATTGTGACTAAGGATTTTTAATATTTTTCATCTGCCTTTGAAGCAATATATTAGGAGCCTTCTATTAAATTTTCAAGCTTTCGCAACCAACAAATAAAATTTTATTGATATTTTTAGAAAAAAAACTAAAAAAAAATGGAAAATGAAAATGTCCCTAAACAGTTCAAAATAAATCAAAATATTTTGAAAATGTTATCGTGTATAGAAAATGCAAATATAAACAACCAGTGAAAATTTCATGTATATACGTTCATTTGTTTCAGAGTTACACCAAAAACCAAAATCGATTTTTTGGAAAACCAATTTTGCGTAAAAATTCCCGTTTTTCCTTAATTTTTATGTTGTTTTTCCCGGCGCTTGTGAAAACTACTGGGAAATTTATACTTTTGACCCCCCAAAGTACCAACTAGATTCACTTTCCTATCAGAAAAGCTACTGATGAAGAAAATCCAAGCACTTTTACTGTCCTAAAACGTGATGACAGACACAAAAATAAAAAAATAAAAAAAAAAATAAAAAAAAAATAAAAAAACACACATCATTGTAAAATCAATACATTCATCGTTTCACTCAGAATCTAAAATATATATAAATAATTACAAACAAAGGCTAAAAAATATGTTTGGAATCAACAAAACAATCAGAAATCAAAATATGTTTTTTACTAAATGTATCATTTTTATTAATTATTAATTATATTTAATTTATTCTTATTTTAAAATTTTTTAATAAAAATTTAAATCAACTTGATCAAACTTAATATTTCATATTAATTAATAATAAATACTAAATAGTAATATAATAGTATAATATTATTAATTCAATATTATTGGTTATTAATAAACTTTAAAATAATGGTGGGGGGGTGTAGTCCTACTATACCGACGACTGCCGGGAGTGGGAGGATGTCCATTTCCACCACGGGCTAAGACTATATCTTAATCTGTGATTTACACTTAGTGCTTACTTCTTTATCTATGCTTGCCGCGTGGTCCCTGCCTTATATCACAAAATAATACTAAATAGCACGGTATATACTAGATAATATAATAGACTATAACATGGGCGTAGCGAGTATGGGGCAGGGGTGGGCAAGTGCCCCCCCCCCTGCACTACAAACTAAATTGTATTTCTTATATCACACGTGTAAGTTTTACGTTAAAATTGAAATATTAAATATGATATAAGTACATGAAGTCTAAAAATAGTTTAGTGGGACCGAGTGATATCTACACGTGTAATCGTTTTATATTTTATCGATTAGTCTATCTAAAGATTATTTGAATTATGAGTTAAACGCTAATCGTTATGTGCTTTATACATTAATATCAACAGCGATAGTGTCAACAATCAAGTGCAGCAGACAGCAGTACGTGCCGTTCTGTGTTCGCGTAAGTAACGAATATAATATATAACGTTTACATTTAATATTATTTTACACGATGGACATAAGAAAGTTTTTTGGTGGTAAGTACATATCTTGTTTTAGAATTATAAATAGTTACAAAGTAAAATAAATAAGTACAAAGTCTTTTACTTATATAATATATACACTATGTATTGTGACCGCCGCCTGCCGCAACTATGATATATTAAGAGGACGCTATACCCGCATGCGTTGTCTTCGTCTTACAAGCATACAATATAGCGAAAAACTGTTTTGCGCGGGACAAAACCACTCCCTTGGTATTTATAGTAGAATTACCAAAATTCCACAATACATAGGGAACAACTTTTTCTGTGTCATAGCGCATATTTTATGTTTATAATTTATTATTAATAAATTATCAACAACAAACAAATTTTTAATGCATTATTTCATAAGTCTTCGTAATTTTTAAGGTCGAGAAAAGAGAAAATTGCCAGAAATAAGTAGTAGCGGAAGTGATGAACATGAATATATAAAATTCCCAAATCCTCCAACGAACCTTCCACTTCTTATGATCGCAATACCAGAAATGCAGATCCTTCAACTTCTAAAAAGCTTACAAATGAAGAACGTTTTGAAAATGACATAGGTCAATGGGTGGGACGGTCTAATCATTTAACAACATCTCAAAAAATGGATATCTTGAAACGTTGTTGGACGCCACCAGAAAATTACAACTTTAGTGACGATGCTATTGCTGTTGGATCAAAGAGAAAATTTAACCATAGTTAGTTACAGGCCTATGCTCCTTGGCTTGCGTATTCGAAAATACTGAAAGGAGCTCTTTGTTTGTACTGTGTTCTGTTTCCACCGAAAAAAGTCCAAGGTGTTTTAGGTTCATTTATCATCAAACCTTTTACACGATACAAACGATACATGCTGTAGCAAATAAAAGTATTTTTATAATGAGTGTTATCCTCATAGCAAAATACTCTAAATTATTAGAGCCTGTTGTGAATGCTTTACAATCAAAAAATCTGGATTTGCTGAAATGCTCAAATTTTATAAAAAAAATAGTAGTCATAGTGAAAGATCACCGCGAACACGCTGACACAGAAATTCAAGAATTATTAACTGCTGCAAACATAGCAGCTGAGAATATAGGAGCAGAAATTAATCTTCCTAGGATTGTTAAACAACAACAACATCGTTCGAATCCTCCAGCGTTAAATTCGGCTGAATTCTGGAAGAGATCATTACTAATTCCATACTTGGATTCATTAATATCCTCATTGGAACGGAGATTTTCTGATGAAAACATACCTGCTTTTTCACTTTTATTATTACACCCTTCAAATATGTTAGATATGAACACCAAAGAATTTAAACTTAAAATAAATGATTTTGCCAATTATTACCAAATTAAAGACTTGGAAAGTGAAGCAGAATTATGGTACAACATCTGGAAGGAGAAAAAACTGGCTAAAAGCAAACTATCAGACATGGAAATGAGTGAAGTAGTAGAAGAAACAGATATTTTCTTTCCTAAAATAAAACAAGCCTTGCATATTTCTTTAGCTCAGCCATGTACAACTAGCACTATTGAGAGGTCATTCAGTACGTTAAGAAGGGTAAAGACTTGGTTGCGTTCAACGATGACGGAAAACCGTCTGAATGGTAAATCAAAATAGTTTTTTTATATCAATGCTAATTAATAATTATATTAATATTAATCATATACAATGTAAATTATTTCAGGTCTATGCATACTAAGTGTGCATAGAAAGCTGCTAGATGAAAAAAAGGAAGAGATGCAACAGAAAATTCTCAGCAGATTTTGCGAAGACTCTAGACGATTGTCATTGTTATAATTTAAAAATAATGATTAATGAATAATATATTATAAATAAATACTTTAAAAAAAAATTGAGTTTTAATGATTTAAAGTTGGCTACATCACTGCCCCCCCCTGATTGAAATCCTAGCTACGCCCATGGACTATAATAGTATAATCAGGGTGAGACACTGTATAGAAATTCGCTAGACTAAACCGGTGTGAAAAATAATGCACCGGGATGTTTGGACCATATCATTTACATGGTTCAATGTTCATTATCCCGGTGCGGGATTATGTGGGATAATTTTAAACCGGTTTAGTCTAGCGAATTTCTATAATGTGTTATGGACAAATCGGGTGATTGTGGCCTTGAAGACGGTCTCCGGGGAGCGCATAGATATTAAAGAAAATATTAATATTAATATTAATATTCTTTAATATCTATGGGGGAGCGTGGTATATTTTATCAATAATTAAATAATTCATATCAATATTATAAATTATTTGAAAAATGTCAAATAACAATATTATAATCAAGGTGGATATATATCCACCTTGATTATAATATTTAATTCATATTTCATAGCAAAATGTGACAATACCATGCATAAAAAACTTTGAAAAAATTAAAACGGTCGTCGTCCGTGGTCACTGGTCAATGGATTGTTTCCGTTTTTTATAATATCGATACACTTCGTTACCATTTACCAACATCTTATCAGATTACGGATACGGTACAATTTTTTTGAGTCCAATACTTCATAGTTCATACCCCAGGGATACACAAGCCCGACCAGCAGGCTGATCGAGTGTCTATTCTATATTATTCTGTGGTATAAATGTATAATCTACCATCAGTGGCGTATATAGGGGGGAGGCCCACTAGGCCAGGGCCCATAGTGAAATTGCAGGTACAATTAAACCATTTTATGTATATGTACACTGTTTACAGGTTTTCACCACGATTAATTTAGCCGGTTGATTAAAATCGTTTTGAGGAATCAACAAAGAAATGTTAGATTGTCAGGACTTGCTTTGATGACTTTTATGTGTTAAATTCACAATAAGATAACATTAAAATATATATGTATATATGAAATTATCTATATTTTTTAAAAAGAATTAAAAATTAATTTTGAATAATAATTATAAAATTTAATTTGCGCAATTTTTATTAGTATTTATAACCACCCTGCTCCTTAAAAAATGTATAGTTATGGCTATTTTAGTCCGTTTGACGCGCTATGTTGACTAGTGATAAATTGGCCCATAGTGAAAATAATTTGTATATACGCCACTGTCTACCATGCCAAATAGTAAAATACACGTCCTATTCTATGGTTTCTCAGTTTCTGTCGTTGTACAGAAAACAAAATGGCTGCTGTACCACCACCACCACATTGTTCTATGCCACCACGGACTAGATACCATTATCGCTGTCGACGACGGGACGTTGATAAGAGATAACGACTTCGTTATCGAATATCGACAAACAGCACCATAATATTATATTTCAAAATTCAAAATTCCTGTTGACTGTTGTCCCTATTTTTCGTCGTATTCCGTTTGGTGCTCAATCAACATGTTGAAAATAACGATCGCTGTAGGAAGAGGAACACAAGTCTTCTCTTCGCTGCGGCACGGACGAAGTCCCTGTAACATCGCACGCCAATGTCTTGGTAGGTTAGATGCAAAGTCGCAGATGGACTCAAGTCGCCCGTCGTCGACATTTCTCAATAATATCGGCAGCGACTGGTGTCGTACTCACCATTTGGTCCGATGTTACGCAAAAAACAAAGACAAGAAAAGCAATAAAGGTATATATTACTTTTCTAGAACACGTTTCCAATGATAAATACTATAAGTGAATCTAGAAAATGTTATTGGGACGGACCAAATGATAAATATGTAAATAATTCTAATTACAAAATAAGTTTTTTAAGAAGAAGTAAACTGGTAAATAAGTTGGCTCCGTCTTACAAGTGCGTAACATAGCAAATTTAAGGTCAGCAGAACACGTGTAGCTTCGTTAGTTTAAAAATTAGAGGGAATTGACCTATTATGAAACTTGATGGTAAGAATATTAACGGTGTTTGTAAGCTGGTTTTTTATAACAGTTCAATTTTTTAGCAAGTTATGCATATATATTATAATATACCGTAAATTAAAGATGTTCATTACTCACTTAAAAACTGGTTGATCGTAAAAAAAAAAAAACCAGCGTACAAGTATAGATAATGTTCTTACCATCAAGTTTCATAATAGGTCAATTCCCTCTAATTTTTAAACTAACAAAGCTACACTTGTTCTGCTGACCGTAAATTTGCTATGTTACGCACTTTTAAGAAGGAGACAATAATTACCAGTGTTACGTTCTCTTAATTTTGATTTTAAATTCTATTAAATCGGTATGTAAGCCAGTCAGTATTAGCTCAAGCTATTGGCGCAACTGGCCTGATCCATAGTTTCACCTATGATAAATGCCCATTGCCTATGCAAATAAGTACCTAGTTATTATTTTTTGATGTTTGAGTATTAATTTTACGTTCATTTTTCAGGTCAGAAAAAAGTATCCATTGATGAGAACTTTTTGGCTGAGCACTTTAAATATAACACCATGAAAACCGAAATGGAAAAGGCTGTGGCTGCATTAAAAAATAACTATATTAAAAATCTATCCTTAAGATCTTCTACAGGTATACAAAAAATAAAATTATTCAATTTATCAATAATATATTATTATTTGTTATCCTTATCATTAACAGTTGCGGTGCAAACTTGCTTTATTTGTGAAACAGCCAAATTTGATTGACCTGTGAAATATTATTTATATCAATGCAACTGAGTTATTATTAAATGGAATGCGAAATGTAGATGCACTATTAAAGATTAATCAATAGAAACAATGTAGCAGCTACATTATACTTAACAACAATTTTATGTTAAAACTCACATTTTAGGAGCATTGGATTCACTACCAGTTACATTTGAAGGTGATGAATATGTTATACAAGACTTAGCACAGATTGTGAGAAAAAATCCTAAAACAATAATTTTGAACATGACATCTTTTCCACAAGCAATTCCAGCGGTTTTGGAATCATTAAAAGCTTCTGGTATGAATTTAAATCCCCAACAAGATAAAACTTCCATATTTATACCAATACCTAAGTAAAGTATTAAAGTAAAACATTTTGGAAATAAGTAATTTTTTTACATTTTCATATTTTAGAGTTACAAAAGAACATAGGGAAAACTTAAGCAAAGGTGCAAAAGCACTTTTTGTCAAAACTAAAGATTCTATTAAAGAATTACAAAACAAAAATATCAAAGTATTAAAAGACAATGATGCATTAGCGACAGATTTGGTTCACACTTTGCAAGATCAGGTACTTGAGAATATTATATGCTATATTTAAGGTGACGCTACAGTTGCATTTGCTGTCTCTGTCTTACAAGTGGGTAACATAGAAAATTTTACGCTTAGTAGAACATGTTTATCTCGGTTAGTTTAAAAATTAGAGCGAAATGAGTATTTTAAGATTTAAAAACAAGTTTTTATCTTTAATATGTAATGGGTTTTAAATAACAGGAAACCCTTAGTATTTCCTTAAGTCTTAATCTTCTTCAAATTCCATTTATTATAGATAAAAGAAGACAGAAATTAAAAATAAAGGAAAATAATTTATAGACTACCTACTATAATAAGTAGTTTATAAAAAAATTGTATTATTTAATTTTATTTAAAATATTTAAATAACTACTTTTTATTAAAATACCTAAATATTTACACCGAATTACAGTTAGTCTAATAAACCTACCTAAAATCATAGATAATACATATTGTTATAAAATTATATAACAATAATAGTAGAGGTGTTCCGGGTGACCGGCCAACGAGTCCAAGCCGGGTACCCGATATCATATTCAGTACCCGACCAATACTCGTTACTCGTCGTGTAATTAAAAGTTGACTTGGACAGTACCCGGTACCGGGTGTACAGTTACATTTTTTCCTTGCATTATACCCGGTACCGGTACCCGATTAATTTATTATTTAGAAAAAAAATGTGTCCTCGCAATCGACCAAACAAAAATATATAATTTTTGCGATACATATTATGCAAAACTTTCTAAAAAATTTAACCATCATACAAAACACACATTCAAACAGTTAAGGGGATTGGAAGCAGCGATTATCTGTCTTTGTCTAACACACGTTCAACATAGGATTATAGACGTGTTCTATTTCCAACGTACTGATTAATCTAGTGAAGCGATAAGAACTCTGTAAACAGATTTGAATTTGTCGTCAAGTCTACTTGAGATCGACTTCCCCACATTTTTGATATTATCCCCCAAAAATCATAAAAATGATATATTAAAAAAAGTAATTAAAAAAATGCCATATTTCAATTTTTGGAGTAGTTTTAATCAAAATATTAAAAATGTGGGAAATTCGATCTCAAGTAGACTTGGCAACAAATTCAAATTTGTTTTCAGAATTCTTATCGCTTCACTAGATTAATCGGTACGTTGGAAATAGAACACGTCTATAATCCTATGTTGCACGTGTGTTAGACAAGGACAGAAAATCGCCGCTTCCAATCCCCTTAACAGATAATTTCCATCAAGTTTCGACTAGGTTTTATCTTTTAAAAGACATTATTATTTATTACTCGACCAGTACCCGAGACTAGGTTTAAACAAAAATTATTACTCGACCAGTACTCGAGACACGGTTTTAACAAAAATTATTACTCGAATAGTACCCTGGACTTGGTTTTAACAGAAATTGGTACTCGGTACCTGGTTTGTTGGTATAAAATCTAACCGGAACACCTCTAAATAATAGTAAATACTAAATAGTAGAAAATAACAATTTTAACATAGACAAAATATATCCTTGTTTAGTTAGTTCATAATCTTCAGTAGTAAAGAACTACGTACTTTCCTGTTATACGAGACTACGACTACCACCCAAGACTACCTCCGTTATTACGAATATCACAATCCTGTTATCTAAGACTACCAAAATGTGTACACTTTCCTGTTACCACAGACTACTTTATTTTTATTAATCATACTTAATTATTTTTTTTTTTTTTTTATAAGCAAGTATTGTGGAGATGGCCAATTTCGAATTTATTATACATAAAAAAAAAGTAAACACCACACTCAACGTACGGCCACTGAAAACAATAAAATAATAAAAATATCGTTGTTGTTGCTGAACACGAACATAAACAAAAATGGTAAATCAATAAATAAAAGGTGGTAGTCGCAATAACGGAGGTAGTCTTGGGTGGTAGTCACGATTATAGTCGTGGTCTTGTATAACAGGAAAGTACCAAGAACTTTGATGATACTAAAAAAATTCTTCAAATGCATTTACATGATTAATAGACTATTTTACTTTCATTTGACTTTTAGAATGCTTTCAGCACCCCTCTATTTTATTCTATTATTTTCTATATATTATTTTATTCCATTTTTCATTCCTTACTCAATTTTTACAATGTTTTCAATAGTTTCAATTTAAACTCTAGTGTTGACATTGATAAAATTTTCAATTTTAATTTTTTTAATATTTATGTTCTATAAAAATATTTGAGAGTTGAGTTTTCTGTCAGGTATAAATTAGACTATTAGAGAATAGAATAAAAAGTATAAGGAAGTTATGAGTAGTATCTATTTTTTGTAGGCAATACTATAAATTATCTGGATCATATTAGCTAAATTAATTTTTGTGCAGGTTGTAGGTAAATATTTCTATGTTGATATCATACTAAACGAGGATCAAATTATTATTATGTATTACTGTAATAATTCATCCCATCTGCACAACAAAAATTACATTTTATTTTATGTTTATTATTTGTTGTTTTTAAAATTCAATTTTTTAATTTATTTGGTATAAAGATGGTGACATTCTGTTATGTATCAAATGCATAAAAATAATTGAAAACAAAATGCAAATTTTACAACATTTATAATAATATAGTTATGTATAACATACAATTACACTAACACAAGAGTATACTATTGTCTATTTAGTATTTTTTTTAAATAAATTACCATTAAATAATATTATACTCCAATTTTTTACACCAAACTATATAAAAGTATTTTACGTCAAAAAAAGTATAGGATAAGTTGAATCATTATTATAGTCAAATTAGATTAAATATTAATCTAGAAACTCTAATCATTTCATTAATGAAGTCATTAAGAAGACGCCATACCCGCATGTGTTGTTTCCGTCCTACACTTACAACTTTATACTTTACACTTTAACACTTACAACATGGCAATTTTTCATTCACAATAATAGATTTTATTCTGTACATTTTAAAATTAGAGTGAATTGACCTGTTATACAATTTAAAGATAAGATTATTATCTATAGAATCTCAGAGGCTTATATTGATATATTTATTAAGAAACAAGTTTATAGCTTATTAAAACTGTAAATTGCTTGTACATTTTAAAATTTTCATAACTTAATTAAAAAAAATTATATCAATAAATTCTTCCAAGATGCCCTGTATAATAATCTTACCTTTAAACTTTATCATGAATTAAGTCGCTCTAATTTTAAAAATAATAGAGTAAAATGAATGTCAGCTCAATAATTGTTTTCTCTCAGATTCACTCACAACATAGATTAAATACTTCCTCCTAAAATCGTTTATTATGATTTTTGAGTCATTTTAGAGTAAAATCGCCTATTACAAAAATTATAGAGGATAATACATTTGTGGGTATGACATATCTGTTGTTTATTTAATTATTATTATAATTATTCGTTTTCTACTTTCAAAATAAAAAAAAACAATTGTAAATTTAAATATTCTTTAAATTGTTTTTGAGACATTATTTGGACAAATCGATGTCATACCTTCAAAAAAATTAAACTCTATTGATTTTGTAATAGGTGATTTTACTCTAAGATTACTCAAAAACATTAAAAAGAAAATGTTTCTGTGTAAATGCTTTTTGTCTATGTTGAGCGTGGGCCAGAAAGAGAAAACAAACAGTGCTCTGATACTATACCCAAAAACATATTTATGATGCCTCAATTTTCCTTACAGAGGAAAATATCTAGTAGCATGCCACTTATAATATTTATGCAGGACCATACTTAGACCGGTTTTCTATGGTCATGTGGCCAACCCTAAGCCTATTTTTAAGGGGCCTGAGCCTACAAAAAAAACTATTGTTCGAGGGCCAGGAAGATTAAGTTTGTCCAAGGCCCAGAACTCTGAGTACTACAGCCTTGTATATGCGAACAACATTTTTTCTAAATAATGAATTAGCACTAAAATGAATAATTAATAGGTACTAAACTAAAAAAAAAAAATGTATTTATCTTATTATGGTGTTTGTTGGATGTTCATAACTTGCGCAAATGTTTGGTACATAATTAATGTACCAAACTAATAGAGTATTCTTAAGCTCTTAAATTTAAGATAATCTTGGAATATATTATTCAATCAATTATATTTGTTATATTATTTTCAATTAAAATATTTAAAAATTGTTTAAATTAAAATCATTTTGTGTAAAAATATAGTCTTAAATCTTTCACATGCTTACCTATTATTATTTATTTTTATTTAATATATAGATTACTGCATTGGCTGATAAATATGTACTGGAGGCACAACGAATAATGGAAGAAAAACAAAGTGAACTTAAAGGTGATTCATAGTGTTTCTAAATTTATTCAATATGTTATTTTATCACAGTAGTTTCATCTACCAAGGTTCAACCCAAAAAGATTAATCTCTTTTGTTTAGTTAGATTTATACTTACCTGTTATTCTATAATCTACAGTAGAAACCAGTTTCAATGTATGAATCATCAGTACTGTACATTTTTATTCATTAAAAATTATATGCATGGATGTATATTGTATATGTAATATGTATAATATATCACATTTGTATATGTTTTATTATTACATACCTGATACCTACTTGTTGTTGTCTGTTGACGACCCCTGACAACAGAATACTTGTTGTTATACACAAACCTTTTTTATCTCCATCCTTGTTTTTGGCTTACTTTTCTTATATTTTTTATTTAAAAACCGACTACTTATATTACTGAATAAGTAAATTATTACATTTAATATTGATCTACAATTATTTATACAACACAATACAAATTATAATTATAGGTAAGTAATAATAATTAGTAAGTAGGTATGTATAATAATTTATCAGAAATCACTATCAATATATACCTATATATTATTTATTAAATTACCTAATTAAAAAAAATATTAAAAGAATATTAAAAAAAATTTTTTTTTAAATTCTTGAAGTTTAGTTATAGGTAACTTTTTTTCACATACACGACAATTGTTATGAGCACTAACTGTTTCGTATTTATTTAAAAAAAAAAACTGATTAATTTGAAGGATGTCCTAAATTCTCGATGAGTAAACAGTACCTAATCAATTGACATTGTTTTACTATATTATTATATTTTAATCCATTTAATACGCTGGTGTAGGTATTTAATACGCCAGTAGACCTTGAAGGTTTTAGTTGTTCGAATGGATATTTGGGGGGCGGACATGTGCTGCAGTCAAGATAGGTACCTACCTACCTACCGTCATTGAACCTCAACTTGTGTTCGTAGCCACAGCAATGTCATTTAAGTATAATGTGCCGTTGAAGAATTTAGTGTACGAAAGTGCTATGAAGTATTATGCGTAGACGTCCGGACTCTTTCAATTTTCAAGCTTATAAAATTGTAAGTAATTTCACGTTTTTATTAGGTATAAGCAATTACATCCCATTAGTTAATATTTCATTACCTTATCTTTTCAAAAAACGATAAACCCATATTCACACTTTAGAATAGGTCCGTACTTGGGCGCCTGGAATAGTGGAATCTATAGGTGCTAGTGTGCCACAATCCTTTTAGTATAAATTGGATTGGAAGCGGGGATTTTCTGTCTTTGTCAAATCACGTAGAACCTAGAAATTTAGATGTGTTTTCATTCCAACGTATCGCCGATTGATCTAGTGAAGCGTTAAGAATTCTAAAAACAGATTTTAATTTGTCATGTCTACTTGAGATCGACTTTCCCATATTTTTTGATTTTTTCCCATAAATCTTAAGAAAAATCGTATTAAAAATGAAATAAAATATTTTAATTTTTGGAGAAAATAAAATCAAAAAATTAAAAATCTGGGAAAATTGATCTCAAGCAGGGGCTCTGGGTACTGCCCCTTCGACAACATTTTGTGGTCAGAAATTTCAAATTTGTTTAGTTGTGAATTATTAAAACGTTATAATTTTAATTATTTTAATAACAGTATTATATAATATAATTTAGTATAATAGTATGATATACAGGGTGTAACAGAAAGATATGACATATACATATACTGGAAATGTTCATAAACAGTTCAAAACAAATCAAAATGTTTTGAAAATTTTATCGTGCATAGAAAATGCAAATATAAACGACCAGTGAAAATTTCATGTATATACGTTCATTTGTTTTAGAGTTTAACCAAAAACAAAAATCGATTTTGTCATATCTTTCTGTTACACTCTGTATATATAGTATTATGCTGTTTGAAATTTTTTTAATTAATATTAATTTGCATAGTTTTATAAGATTTTATTCATGAAGTACCGACTTAAATATGTTAAAAAAACAACTTATATGATGAATTATAAGCGGGGTTTAAGTGTCATAAATTCAAATTTATCTTTGCTGAGAAAGGATCAAGCAATTACTAAACAATATTTTTTAAAAAAAGCACACATTGTAAAACAAATATTCTTTTCTGTGTTCAGAATCTAAAAGTTTAATGAGGATCTATCTCCCATATTTTCTGTGGATAGGGCCCTTAGGGGAGAGCTTTTTTTTGCACTGGGGCTTAGGGGGCGCCAATTTTTTTTTTTGCGCCATTTTTACGCAAAATGTCTAAATGTGGCACAGATCTCAAGTAGACTTGGGGACAAATTCAAAACCGTTTTTAGAATTCTTATCGCTTTACTAGATCAATCGGTACATTGGAATGAAAACACTTCTAAATTCCTATATTCCACGTGTGTTAGACAATGGCAGAAAATCACCGCTTCCAATCACCTTACCTAACTAAATTAAATAGGTACTTATAGGTTTAATATTATATAAGTACTATAATAGTCTATAATCATTCAATACTGCACTTTACGTTAACTAATCGTAAACGATGTTTCTGTTACATTATATTTCAAGAAGCTATTATTTAATAGGTACCTATCTACCGGCTACCGTAATGTATTTACAAAATCAGCAATTCATTATTATAAATATAATAACTGGTTCGTACAACTATAAAATACTTGCGTATATAATATGACAATTTAATATTTTAAGAAATAGGTAACAGATACCTAATACCAAATAAATGTATTTAGCTAAAAAAAATATTTCAAATATATGTACCTATTCCAGATAGCATTACAATATTTTACGTATATGTTATCAATATTTTCTGTGAACACGAAAATATTTTAAATCTGTGTTTTAATTATGTGATTTAAGTGTTAACAATAATGAAGCAATATTGTAACAACGACTCGTGGCAGAAAATAATAACATATGTTATTTATAATTTATTAATATATATATATATTAGTCATATTAAATAATATAATGACTTAAAAAAAATCGTATGAGCTGTGGCCTGTTTGTATAATAATATATGTAGGTATATGTATACTGATTTACATTAGACCTCGGTAATGTTTGAGTTTCCAACGAAACCGTCATGTCCGACCGCAATCGGTGAAATGCAATGACCTATTGGGTAATACCAAATAAATATATTGTGTATAGGTTACGGAGTGCGATTCAAATAAGTCTTTTATTTTCACCTTCAGCGATTTCCCGGCAATTCTATAGTTTCCACGTGCAAAACTTATAGGTCATTGCAGAACCAATGTTCTACAAAAAAAATACCCAGAGGCAATGATACGTACAAATTCCCCTACACTTATATTGTAGCGAGTAGGTAGGTGATATGCAGATTCGAAGAAAACATAATAAAATTAATTAGTTCCTTATTTCATAGAATTCTATCTGCTGAATTGAGACACTCCGATTATACTTAAACAACAGTATCTATGTACCTACGTGTTTTAGTACTGCAGCAATAATATATGATTTTACTCAGACTGGTTTTTGTGTTGTATTTGTCAAATTGTGATATGTGATGCACATAATATAATATTGACGGTACTAAAATATTGGGCTGGGATAATATTAAATACCTTACTTACTCATTGGAGTAGTTTCTTCAAAATGTCTTTAATATTTATAATTATTCAACCCGAAGGGGTGACATGCCCACAACTACCACCTAGTTTAACCCTTTCACTACTCCAGACGTAGATACTATAGGTAAATAGGTAATGGTCCTGTATTTTATAATATTATAATTTACCGGTATCGGCATCGATAGCCGTACAACTTATGGAAACCTTGGGTCTCATTATTATATACTCAAATAATTAGATCATAATATTATAGTTCACAAAATTAAATTTTGTTTTACGTAGCAAATACCGGTTGCGCATAGGGGTGACTGCCCCATCTACGGTAGTACGGTCGCGGGTCGTCGGTCACCTCGTTATCCAATAAACCAGTGCATCAAAAATAATTGTGTTGACCATACAAAAAGGTTAAGGGCCGTTCTTACAATGTCCGGTAAAGTGTCGGTTAACGCTAACCGACTGATAACAGATTTTATTACCGGCAGAATTCTTCCGGTTAAGTGTCGGTAAAGTGTCGGTTAACGCTAACCGACTGATAACAGATTTTATTACCGGCAGAATTCTTCCGGTTAAGTGTCGGTTAACTTTAACCAGACATCGTAAGAACGGCCCTTAGAATGATAACAAGAACTTATTCTCATTGGAACGATACTATCAAAAGATGTTTTCACGTTCAAATGTGTATATAATTAGTATTTAGAAATAATTTATAAAAAAAAAAATGTCTTGCAATCTAAAATAAGGTAAAAATATTTATAATATATTTCTACTTTATAGATGTACATATAAAACAAAATATGGAGATTATGATTGAACATTCAAATCATGTAATACTATTATGGTTTATCAATAAAAATATTTTTTAATTACATATTTGTTAAAATGGAAAATACCAATCAGTAGCTCTGTGGGTCACTGAATAATGGATGGTATTAAATTTGAATTCAATAAAATAATATTGTATACGAAATACGATTCCGAGCAGAGACGGTTTATCAGTCTGGATTTTTTAAATTTTTATTATTTATTATAGCCTTTAAGTTGAATTGATGTTATAATATTATATTTTTTTATTCGTTGCTACGGTGACAAGGAAATCGTTAGAAATTAAAATCCCGATTTAAGTGGTTTTTCGTAATTTGTCAGTATTTTTTCCCGTGGCATTAAATAACTATTGAGAAAATCGAAAAATGACCTTCTAAAGTATTGATGTATCAGTATATACCTTCTAGTATCATCTTGATCCAATTTGCTAAAAAATAAGGTACTATATTGAAATTGAAGCCCTCCTAGTAAAAATTTTGTATACTGCAGGATATAAAAATTAACACCATTGTAAAACCACTAGCTTCCTCGCTCCGCCCACAATCTAAAATACATCATTGTAAAATTAATACATTCATCACCCCGCTCAGAATCTAA